AAGGCTCCTTAGGGTTTGGGGTTTAGGGTTTAGCGGTTTAGGGTTTAGGAGTTTAGGGGTTTAGGGGTTTAGGGGTTTAGAGTTTGGGGGTTCTTGTTGCAAGAAGAATGAGAGGTTTCGGGTTCACGGCGGACCAGAAGCTCTTCCACAGAGTCGTCCCGTGTTAAGGCCGTTAAGGCTCTGTTGTGCCATTTTCATCTGAGGGTTTACGGCTGAGGCTTGGAGTTCACTGTTCCGCTGTTCCATGGATAGCCTGAGGACCCCAGCTGACTGATGTAACCAAAACGTAACAAGTCTAAAGCCCAAACTCTTGAACTTTTGATGGATTTCAGCTGTGCTGATGGCTTCAGTCGGTGCTGTTTCTTGGAAGAATTTGCGGCTAGGTTGCGGGTTTCCACATTCAGAGTGTGGGATTTGCCTTAAGCTCTACGCCCTCAACCTTGAATCCTAACCCCTAATCTCCACGCCCCAAACTTCTGAACTCACCACCGCCTAAACCCTAAACCCCAATTGAACCGCACAGCCTCAACCCTAAGAGCCCAATCCTAAATCCTACAGAGCCCTTGAAAAGAGCCTCTTGAAAAGCCACTTCAAACCTTTAACCCTACAGTTCCGACGGTTGATGCCGCAGGAACGAGTTTCAGGGTTCCAAATCCTAAGCATCGAAGCCCCAACGAGGTTGTCGGTCTTAGGGTTTAGGAATGTTTCGGGTTTCTGGCTTAAATTAAAACTGCGATATAGCTGTTCTGCGGCTTTGCACGGTGTTTCCAGGTTGTCTTGGCGCATTATCGGGGAACTGTAGGGCTTTACAGAGTTAATACGGGGTTTTGTAGGGCTTTGTGGTCAGTATAGGTTACTATAGTACAAATTATATGGAAATCGGTCCCTCTACTACAATATAACTCAAAACAAACCCAACCCTAATTATGACAGTCGTATATTGCAGTGTATAGCGGATTTAGGCATGGTGTTTGCGGAAGCTTTAAATCCTAAAGCACCCTAAGCCCTAAACCCTAAACCCCCGTAAACCCTAAGCTCAAAAGCCCTAGAACTTAAGCCTCCAAGCAACGGAAGCTGCTGGGATCCCTATCCCGAACAAACCCCTAGAGAGCCCCATAAACAACACCAAAAAAAGCAGCGCAAAACCCTATAACAACCGCATAAAACCCAACAGAGCACTTTGTTCTAGTCATGAATACGAAGCAATATAGAACCCGAATAGACGCCTTATTCCGGTCATCAAGGTCCTTTATACAGAGAACCCAATAGACCTTAACTAAGGAATATACCTTAAATCATAACATGAAGGCCCCTATAATTTAAGGTATATTCCTTAGTTAAGGTCTATTGGGTTCTCTGGGTATACCCTAAACCCTAAACCCTAAACCCTAAACACTATACTACTCCCCGACCGAAGTTCTCGAAAGTCGTAAGGCGGAGGATGACGAGTTCTGGATGCGGGTAGAGGCCCGCCGCGAGGTGCCTGCGCTGGGTATTTGGGGTGTAGGGTTTAGAGTACAGGGTTTACGGTTTAGGGTTTAGGGTTTAGGGTTCAGGGTTTAGGGTTTAGGGTTCAGGGATCAGGGGGGCGAGGGGTTAGTTTCCAAGGTCCTTAGGTTTAGGGTAGGGTTAAGCGCTTAGAGTTTAGGGCTAAGGGTTTAGGGTCTAAGTCATCTGGCGGTAACCTACAATGAGGGCTACCATCAATCGGGGGTCCAAAAATTAAGGATCCGCGTCTTCACGTTTTCTGATGTGAGAACTTCCGCATGTCGCTATATATCTGTGCTACTGATATGCCCCCAAACCCTATGTGCAGCGTTAGGTTCCCTAAACCCTGAACCCTAAACCCTAAACCCTAAATCCTAAACCCTGAACCCTAAACCCTAAACCCTAAACCCTGAAACCTGAACCCTGAACCCTAAACCCAGTTTGCAAACTGGAGTTTCGGCATTTTTCTGTGTTCCGAAGGTTTCAGAGTCCAGGGATCGATCGGGCGAGGATGGCACTCGGAACTCCAACCCCGACACTCCCCACACCACCTAAGTACAATAGCTTCGGGTTCAGGGGTTTAGGGTTTTTAGGGTTTTAGGGTTTTAGGGTTTGGGGATTTTAGGGTTTTAGGGTTTTTTTGGTTTTAGGGTTTGGGGCTTTAGGGTTTTAGGGTTTGGGGTCTGGGCTTTTAGGGTTTGGGGTTTTAGGGTTTAGGGTCTTAGGGTTTAGGGTTTTAGGGTTTAGGGTTTAGGGTTTAGGGTTTAGGGCTCCTTAAACCTTGAGCCCAAGATGAGGCGCGGGCGCGAATGGTCACCATCCGAAGCGACGAGGAGTGAGCGTACGCCGACAGGGTCGATGGGCCACGAAGCCTAAAGCCTAAGCCCTATAAGCCCTTTAGGGTTGTTAGGGTTTAGGGTTTAGGGTTGAGGGTTTAGGGTTTACTACAAGCCCTAAGCCCCTAAACCCTGAGCCCTAAACTAAACCCCAAGCCCAAAGCCCTAAGCCCCCAAACCCGAAGCCCTAAACCCTCAGCCGTCCATTTTCAACGAAGATCCCCCACTTACCATGGCGCAGTCGTTCTGCGCCCCTTGAGCTTTGAGCTCTCGGCTCGAAAAACATGGCCGAACTTCAAAGCTATGACGGTTTAGGGGTTTAGGGCTTAGTGTTATGGGGTTAGGGTTTAGGATGTAGGGGTTTAGGGATATTTAGTCGTTTTTCGGGTGTTTAGGATTCAGGGTTCAGGGATCTTGGGGGCGTATTTCGGGTGTTTAAGTCTTTAGGGGTGGTGGGGTTTAGGGTTTAGGGTTTATATAGGGTTTAGGGTTTAGGGGTGGTGCGCGTGGAGGGTTGGTGTTTCTGAGTTTCTAGGCTTTACCCGAAGCGCGCAACTTCAAAGCGACCGTACCAGCTCCGTCCCCGCCAAGTAACCTACCGATTTCAGGACGTATAAAAGGAAAGCATAACAAGGAATTTAGCGTTTGCCTTAACCCACCAAAACCTACGTTTTTGTAGGTTCTTATTACAAACCCCTAATATGGAATTTATAGGGACCCTACAAAAAAGTAGGTGTTGGTAGGTTAAGGTAGGGCTTAGGGTTTGGACTCTCGGGTTTAGGATTTAAGAAAGATTCGTCCCCAGGTTTCTAGCTTAACATAGCGCTCTTGAAGAAAGATACACGCCAAAACCCTAGCCCGATTCGTGAGGCCTCTATATTCGTTTGGGGGGTTTGCTGTTGTTAGGGACACCAGTAGGTTCTAAACCCTGAACCCAAAACCCCAAACCCTAAACCCTAAACCCTAATCCGCAGCCACTTGGGCCAAGCTCCAGACCCCTCTTAGACCTTCTTGCTCATGGACTTTGGCCGAAGGTCCAGGGGTTTACGAGTCATGTGGGCCCGCCTCGCCGCCGGCATGGTTTTGATCTGGCATTTGGGACTGCAGGGTTGCGACAGCATTCTTGGCCCCGGGCCAGAAGTTGAAGAGTTCGGCTTGGGCCTGCAATCCGTGTTCCGAGTTCCTTTCGATAGTGCGGACAGGGGCTGGGAGCCTTTCGTGATGAACGGAACGCAGTATGTTGCGCTGGCGGCTGAAATCCTTGATTCCATGCTCTACGAGTTGGATGCGGCGACCTTTCAAGAGGTGCAGAGGCTTGGCGGGAATATTGGGAACAGGGTCCATGACGTGGTGTACTTCGAAATCGGCGGCGCCTCCTACCTTGCTCTGGCAAGCTCCAAGGGGGTGGAGCCGAAGATTTGTCGCTGGGAGGGCCGTCAGTTCGTCGAGTATCAGATCGTGCCAAATCAGGATCCTAGCAACAGAATGACAGACTTGGAGGACTGCTCGAAATCACCCCCTTTGGTCTTAGGGTTTTGGGGTTTAAGGTTTCGAGTAGGGGGGTACGTATTTTTTTTGGGGGTGTGTGAGTTTTGAAGCCACAGTGTCGCAGGACTTTGTGATCGACGGTGTGAGTTACCTTGGTGCGGCCATGACTGAGTCACCCAGCTACGTCTTCAAGTGGAACGGTACTGCTTTCGAGGAGTTTCAGATCCCAGATTCCTCAGCAATACCCTTTTGCCATCATTGGCCCTTTTTCTTTTTCGGTTCCCAGATTAAAAACCAAATATTGGGAGAAGGGTGCCCTTATAAAGGGGCTACTGGGGAGACTAGGGCCCGTGGGGATGGGTTTAGTGCTTGTGTGTAGCGTTGAAGCTTACAGGGCCTAAACAACCCCCCAAAGTAGGTAAAAGAATGGCCAAACACCTATAGAAGGCTAGCTAGCATCCTGCATGCTTTTGGGGTCCAGGCAGATCTCAAACCCTAAAGCCTGAAATCCCCTAAACCCAAGATCCTAAACCCGGGCTTAGAGGGTCAGGGCTTAGGGCTTGGGGCTGCGGGGGTTTATGGTTGGGAGTTTCGGGTTCTGGGTTCACGGTTTGGGGCGTAGGGGTTTTCAGAACGCAATGAAAGGACGATCCCCACCCGTCATGATGCCAGAGCGATGCTGGGTGCTCCTTAGGAGTCATTTTCCTTTTGTCATAATTATAGAAAACCCAACGGCTCACTAGCGAATCGTGAACCCCAACCTAACCCTAAACCCTAAACCAAAAACCCTAAACCCCTAAACCCTAAACCCCTAAACACTGGCCCCTAAACCCTAAGCCCCTAAACCCCTAAACCCCTAAACCTTAACCGGCGGCCTGACAGGATGAAGTTCTTCAACATGGAGGGTGTCAAGTACCTGGCCATAGCTGCGCACATAGGCGAGAGCTAAGACGAGAGCTTCCACCTACAATGGGTTTAGGGTTTAGGGGTTTAGGGTTTAGGGTTTAGGGGTCTAGGGGTTTAGAGGTTTAGGGGTTTAGGGTTTAGGGTTTTACGGGTGGACGTGGGCTAAGGGCTTCGGCTTCAATCGGGCGAGGGTTGAGGGTTTAGGGGCCAACCGGGGCCCAAGCATGGCTAAGAGGCTTATACGTACCGTTGCGAGTCCCTAAAACCCTACACCATGAACTGTTGATACCCTAAGTTAGGTGCCTAAGTATTGGGCACCTGGTCTCTTAGGGCAAGTAGAATCGCAGTGCAAGCTAGGGATATTCCCGCATGACCCAGGGACGTGGCGGACTTCTTGGGGCGCATCGACATGTAGGTTCGTTCGAACTGAAGACCTTAAGTGCGTGGCCTCTGAAATGCGTGACAAACCCGAAAGCCTAAACCGAACCCCAGACCCCCGAAGAACCCTGTAAACCCCATAGGCGGAGATGTCGCAATCCACCGTTGGAGCGGCTCGTCCTTTGAGCCCTGGAAGACGCTCCCAGCTCCAATTGGCTACTATTTTGGGGAGTCATACCATGTAACCTTTGAACCTTCATCAATGAAGGTTCAAAGGACCCTCTGATGAGGTACTTTGGTTGCGGATAGTAGTTATCTAGGTTCTCTAGGTTCCTATTTGGGGGAGTATATGATTATTCGGTACTTGGACCCCTTAGGGTAGCGAATCATGTTTGGGTTTTAGCTGGTTCTTCTGGGTGTCAGCTCCTGATGTAATCTGTAGGGTTTGGAGGTACCGGCTAGAGTTCGCGACCAAGCACCAAGCTGTGCTTATCACCTTATGTGATTAGTTGGGATGCGTTGAATATGGGCTTATCTATGTCTATATTACTGTATCTCTACATGCCTATCTATCTATCTATTTATCTATGTATCTGTCTATATATATATATATTAATTAGCCTACGATTGTGTAGGATATGGGACCACAGGTTAGATGCCCAAAACGCAGTGGACTTGGCTGTCTTCTATATCAACGACGTCCTCTACCTGGCTGTCGCAGAGCATCGGGAAGGTGAACCCCCCCACACAGCCAAGATTTTGGGGGTTTAGGGTTTAGGGTTTCCCAAGATTCTAAACCCCAGATATCTTGCGATTGCGATCGCACTCAAGCCTACAACTCATGTGAACGCTGAGCTCTAAAAAGCCCCCAACAGGATCTGTGTAGCTTAGGGTTTAGGGTGTTTCTGTAACACCTAAACGCTGAAACCTGCAGCAGGACCCGCCAGGATCTATTCATGGAGTGGGTCTGACTTCGAAGTGGCTCAGAGCATTGACGCGACATACACACACTCCGTCCATGCCTTCGTTACCTGGGCAGAATCGCCTGGGACTCCAAAACCTCAGCGGTTTTGGGTTTTCGGTCTAGGGCTTGGGGGTCTAAGGTTTAAGGTTTAGGGTTGAGGGGCTCAAGGTTTAGGGCTTAGGGTTTAGGGGTTTGACGTTTAGGGTTTAAGGGTTTAAGGCTTAGGGATTAGGGCTTCGACAAGTTATTGGAGTCGGCAAGTAGGTCCGGCGTTGCAGGTTGCTGGTTGCAGGGTTTCCGTTGTTGTTTGTGCTGTAGACTTCATGGTCTTTAGGGCTTACGGCCGTTTAGGGTTGTAGAGACCAGGTTCATACTTCCTTGGTATGATGAACTGCAAGCTTGTTGAGGCTGGTGTTACCCCCTGACCCTCTGAAATGCCGATGGACTGAAGAGCCAGGTTGCCGGCGGTGTGAACTTCCTAGCATTGACCACGTCGGGACACCATAACCGCATCTTTTCTTGACAATGGCATGCGGTTAGTTTCCCGTCTCTATCGCTTGATCTTTGTAGGCCGTACAAAGCTCAACCTGTACCCTAGCAGGGCCAACCTAAGGGCCTTCCGGTACTCAGCTCTGCGTGCAGTCCTTTTGCCAACCTATAATCAGGAAGTTTGGTTCCAAAATGTACCAAACTAGCCGGTAGAAGTTGACGTTGAACAAGTAAGCTGGTAGCAATTCATAACTATCGTAGTGGCAAACCCATCGAAACCCTATGAACTCTTTGTGCACCCTAAGCCCTCAGCCCTAAACCCTAAACTCCTAAACCCCAACCTTAAACCCTAAACCCCAAACCCCTAAACCCCTAAGCCCTAAACCCTAAACCCCTAATTGTTCTTCTTCTTCTTCTTGTTATAAAATTGGTGTATATTGTAGTGAATACGACATTTTGATGTTCGGATTGAGATAAAATGTGCCCCGAAACCCTACCAGGACCCTCCTTGTACCCTCAAATAGGGGTATATTGTCCCACATGAATGGAATTTAGGATCCAATCGAGGGTAGATGGAGGGGTCCATGTAGGCTTTAAGGGGGTAGGGTTTATCATCAATGTTTCGATGGTGCGCTGCAAGGAATCTACGCATGGAGAGGAGACAAGTTTGAACAGGCGGGGTCTATCCTTTGCACCTTCAGGTTGGGGTTTAGGGACTTAGAGTATAGGGATTTAAGGATTGGGGTGTAGGGATTTAGGGTTCATGGTTTATAGAAATTGTGTAGTTTTGACCGAAAGTGTTGACTTTGACCCCTAAACCCTAAACCCTGAACCCTGAACCCTAAACCCTAAACTTGCCCTAAGCCCTAAACCGCTTTCGATTTCGCTTTTTGGGCTGGGGTCTGGGTGTGGGCTGGAGCTGGGGCTGGCGACTGGGCTGTGGGGATGGGGCTGGTGGGCTGGGCTGGGCGTCTTGGGAGGGGTCTCCTCGCAAGATAGTTCGAAACTAATCAAAATGCAGTTCGAAGCGAAATTCACGCAATTTCTAGTTATCCTGTTCTTGAGGGTTTAGGTTTTGGGGTTTAGGGATCTGGCCGTGGCCTGGCACACCGCCTGTCTTTCTTTCTCTCCCACCCCACAGCGTACAAGGCGGCCAAACCCGTCAACTCGTCCGCCTTCTTCTGCGTGCTTGTCATGCAGGCGGCCTAAGGCGCCGCCAGAAGCCCCTGAAAGCTTCCGAATCTCCGGGCGCTGTGGTGTCCCAAACCACCCAGCCAGCTCACGAAGGACCATAAAAGTCTGGAAAGAACGTGTTCCGGTACGGGGTCTGTGGGTGGGGGCGGTCCCACAATGGGGAGGCAGGCATGCTGCATCTGCATTTCTATCGACGGCGGGCGGCCTATGCCCGGAGTTTAGAAGAAAGGTCGTAGAAACCTGCCTTTACATCGCACTGTGCAGGAAATCTGCTAGCCTGTTCATATATCAAAGGACTTTGCCAAGATGTTTCATCCTGATGAGGACCTTAAATAACCTGATTTTGAACAAACCCTAAACATCCCTAAACCCTAAAGCCCCAAAGCGCCAGGCCCCCTAAACCCGGATGCAGGTGACGTCTACGGAGAACGGCCAGTCGGACCAGTGGTCCTTCTTTGCTACCGGTGACGACGGACCTTACTACCTGGCTCTGGCAAACTTCCAGGACACCCGCGCGGCTTTGGGTTCAGGGGCCCCGATATCGTTTAGGCTCTAAAGGGTTCTGAATGGGATTTCCTGCTTGCCTCAAACCCTAAACCCTGAACCCTAAAACCCTAAAACCCTAAACCCTAAATTGTGGCCAGAAACTCCAACCTACCCAATCCAAAATGTCCCAGAGCCCCAAACTCCTTTATGCAGGAAAAGAGCAAAGTATGCAGAGCTTCTCATTTTCGTTTGCAGCAAAACAAGAGTATATATTGGGCTTTCCGGTCACCAATGCGCAACCTCTAACCTAGACTCCATGTCGCCTGGACTGAACGCTTCTTCGCTGGCCCAAATGGACTCTCAGAGCCCCAAACAAACCCTAGCCCTAAACCCTAAACCCCCTAAACCCTAAACCCTAAACCCGAAACCGGAACACCTAAACCCTAAACCCTAAACCCGGAACCCCTAAACCCCTAAATCCGAAAATGAAACCTGCAAGTCAGAAGCCAGCAGGCCTCACCCGGAAATGTTCCCAGCTTGGAGGATCATGGGACTTAGTAAGTAAGGTTAAAAGTACCTGAATTGGGGTTATAAGGAGTTGCATGAGTATTGTGACCTTATGTATACACCCTAAGTCTAGCTACTTCGTTCCATGATCCTTTAAGTAAGCCTACACCCGCAGCCTTTCGAGCTTTGAAACCCTAAACCCTAAAC